GGCTTATGGAGTTTGGAGGAAGAATGGGTTGCGGCCGGGCCGGGGCGCCCAGGGTGTCCTGCGGGGAGCGGGCTGCGGGGCCCGAGGCGGGCGCGGGCCGGGGCCGCGGGTGGGGCCGGCGCAGGTGGCGGCCTGCTCTTCCTCCGGGGCGGATTTGGTGGCTGCCCGGGAGTGTGCAAGGGGTCAGGGCGGGTGACAGCGGTGGACAAGTGCCTGAAGAGCAAACTAGTTCACCTTTGCGACCAAACCACTTGGGGTGTAATGGTGAAGGGAGGGCGGGGGAGACGGTGCAGATCGGAACCCGGTACCTTCTGCCTTTTATCGTTGCTGTTTAATGTGAGTTCTCTTTTGGGGGGAGGAGGGATTCGAGAAACTGTAATTGAGAAGTCACTCTTAGTGGCGAGGAGACTGAATTCTTCGAATTAGCCGGATTAGGTATAGTCGTGTATTAAAGGTGTGGGTGGGAATAGGTGATATTTGTGAAAAGTGTTTGCTCAGAGTGTCAGTTTTCTTTTACCGATGTTGCATGCTACAGTGCCGCTTCTCCAGAGTTACCCTTGGAGAGCAGAGGTGTGGGTGATTCTAATCTTTGGGATTAGTGTTTTCACCTGCATCAGATTGGCTTCCCTAAGTATATCCTAATTGTACTGAAATTTACATTCCTGGCGTGCACCTTGGTGAGGCGGTGACTGGAGGCGGAACGTTGCGTAAAGAGCAACAGGCCTGGGATTTTAAAATGCCTACAAATATTCATTCATTCGTTCAAAATGTCGTGATCAATAACTGCTGCTGATAGGTCACATGTGACTCTCTTGGATAACTGAAGAGTTGATGGCATTATTTAATTTTTAATAGTTTTTGAAAATGTTTTGATGTATCCTTTCGTAAAGATATTTATTGGCAGAACTAACTTGCCCGATCTCAGGAGCAGACCAATTTTAGAATATTATTTAGACATGGGTGAAGATTACAGAAGAAATAAGCAAGTTGTTGCAGAAAGAAACATTGTCTTTATTTTCTCATTCTGTTAAAATCCAGTGGAGGTTTATTTATTTGTTTTAATATTTATAGTACACAGTTGCTTTGCCTTGCTTTAAGCACACCTGTTAATGGAAATCAAGGTTAACACACACACATGTATATAAATAATATGCACATACATACATAAGGATGTGATTGCTTGCAGTACCAAAATACTCTTTCCTTTTACAAAAGGCTTGCCATATGTTGGACTCCTACCCCAGAGAAAATACAATACAAAGAGTCCTGATTCCTCCTTTAACTGTGTCATTTTGGAATATGATCAGTCTTTTTCTGGTTGTTTCCTCATCTATGATAGCAGGAAAACATCTCTTCTAAGTTGCTGTTGTGAGCCTAAAAGAGCTGTTATGAAATTCCTTTACAGAGATCGTAAAGGTTATATTTCTGTGCCAGAGTAACAGCTCCCTCTTCTCTCCTGAAATGCTTTAACTGCACATCTCCTCTCATGGCATTTATACTTTCTACCTTGTATTTAGGTACGTACCTGTTTTGTCTCCTATTGAGGAGCAGGATGGGCCCTTCTCTGACTTTTATCTTGAAGGCACTGCCTAGGATATTGACACTGCAAATGTTTATTGAACGAATAAACATTGTATTCTAATTAGGGAAATGTGTTCACATTACAGCTTACCAAATACATCTGCTAACCTGCTATGACATATTTATATAGGTGTGATTCGCTCCATGATCTATGAGGAATAAATTTTTTTTTTTTTTTTGCGGTATGTGGGCCTCTCACTGTTGTGGCCTCTCCTGTTGTGGAGCACAGGCTCCGGATGCGCAGGCCCAGCAGCCATGGC